GGGGGGGGGGGGGGGGGGGGGGGGGGGGGGGGGGGGGGGGGCTTGTTGAACTTGCTCTTAAGAAATGACCTAAGAGATTTGTCATGTAGCTCAGTACAGTGTTGCCTTAAATGCACAAAGCACCAGGTTTGATCTCTCTCTCTCTCTCTCTCTCTCTCTCTCTCTCTCTCTCTCTCACACACACACACACACACACAAACTGAGCAATCCCAGATCCCAGCCAGCTTTGGGAGGTAGACAAAAAGTGACCGAAAGCTCAACTTCATCCTCAGCAGCACAGGGAGTTACATCAGACGAGGATACACGAGACCTTGTCTCAAAACAAACAAACAAAACCCTAAGACTTCCTAACACTAAATAAAATGTTAACTAACTTTCAAGTTTTGTGTCTGTACCTCAGTTCGGGTGGGGTAAAAGTTCCTTCTGTCTTGCTGGGAAACTTCCTACGGTGGTGGTATCCTGTGGTGCTGTCTCACAGGAAGCCCTGCAGCCACCACCATGATCTGTGCCAAAGGGTGCCTAAGCTTCTTGTGGAGAGGATGGAGCATCTCTGCCCTGACTCTTTGCAGTCCTCATCTTATCCTGAGTGACCATATCTCTGACACCGTGTAAATGTCTACCCGGAAGTTTCTAGAGGGGAGTCTTGGCTTTGGGTTCAGAGGTACCCCAGCTGAGAAGCAGATCCTGGTCAGCCCGCTCGGCTAATCCATTAGAAGCTCTTAGGGCAATTCAGGGTGTCTCCTCCCATACTCCTCTAATTCAGCTCACCTTTCCATGGGGGCTACGTCTTTGAGCAAGAAGAGCATCTGCCGGTCTGACAGGTGCAGAGCATGGCTCATAGGCCTTGCTCCATAGACTCTGAAAAAGGGGCCAGATACTGTTTCTCTCAGAGATCACATTACAGGGCCTGTGGACATAATAATCCCGGTCCCCAAAAAGCTTCTCAGTAAAGCTCACAGCCTTTGTCAAGAGCGACGGGTTGGAGATTCTAGAATCTCTAAGCAGTGTTTTCGTAAATGACTAGCCTTGTAAGGTTTGCTTCTCTTGTGTCTTTGCAATTCTTTCAGTTTCGTTCGTGCTACTGTTACCAAGTTCAGCACTTAGAGTCGGCCCTGTGTGTTTTCAAATTCCAGTTCAAGGAAGGACACAAGTGTCTTGTCCTTTGAGTCCCTTCAGCTTTATTACCGAAGAAAGCTTTTGTTTAGGTAGATAGGAAGGATAGACAGACCGACATAAAACAATGGAAATGATCATAGAGTATATGAACAGCATAAAATGGAAACTTTCCCCTCTCTGGATGTCTGAGTTGGAAGAAGCTGACCCCCAGGATCCCACTAGCACCTGCCCGTCTCTGCCTGGTAGCCGGGATGCATTTTCCTCTTCTACAAGCAGATGCCCTTTAACAGAGATCACTGTTTTCAATCTCAAATGCTTTCCAAAGCCTTGTATTAAATGCTGGGTGGCCAGCAAGGTGGCTTTGTAGGTAGAGGTGCTCACCGAAGAAGCCTGGGGGCCTGGGTTGGATCCTAAGAACCCGCTATGGAAGGAGAAAAACAGCTTCTGTGAGTTGCTGTCTGTCCACAGGTGCAGCGTGGCTCGTGGGTGCCTGCATGTACAGACACTAATAAATAATTTTGGGGAAAAAAATGCTTGGTTGTCAGCCCTTTAGGGCCTATTGGGGGGAGGATCAGTGTAGCAGGAGGGAGATGAAGTGAAAATAATTTAGGTCACTGAGGGTTTGTCCTTGGAGAGGATGTCGGGAACTCTACCCCTTCCTGTCTCTCTTTCCTGGCCACCATGAAGGGTCAGCTTACGTCTACCAGGATATGCTACTGCCACACAAACCCAGGGCAAAAGGGCCAACTAGCATTGCATGAACCAACCTGAAATGGGAAACCCAGATAAATCTGCCTTTTCAGTTGATCGCACCAGGTTCTTTGCCCCTATAGTGGGAATCTAACACAACCACACAGTACCTCTGTTTTAAATATACCTCATGAAGATGGCTGTAATTTACAACGATCTATAATTTGCAAGTTGGGCTGATAAGATTCGGAGATACAAGACCCCACCCCGCTACCAACCACCTCGGCAAGAGGAGCCAGGACCTTTCTGACACAGCTTATGACTGCCACCTACGGGCTAGAAAGTGGACCTGCTGGTGGAGGGGCCCCTGGTCTCAGCATTTACAGGGCGTTGCCCTTCCTTCACCAAACCCAAAGAGAAGCTTAATAACCAAACAAAAGAATCCTGTGTTTGGGGTTTCCCTTTCAGCACAACTTCAGAATTTCCTGCAGTGTGACCTCCTAGGGCATCCTGGCCATCTGTTCTGACCCAAAACTGGCTTGGTTGGCACAGCATCTCCCAGAACCAAAACCGCAAGAGTATATGTTCGCAGCATTTTGATTCTCTTCTCTTTCACACAAACCTGTATCCTGAGCTCTGGAAAGGGTCACGTTGGTGACACAAATGTGACCCCCCACAGAGTTGAGAGAAAGCTGCTTTTGTCCTCATACGTCAAGTGCTCCATTCAGGCTGCAACTCCACTGCAAGAGGCGCCAAACTACTACTACTGAGTTTGGTCAAGGCAGATACTGACTCTATTAGACAAACAGACTTAGAGATGTAAGACTTTTAGCTGACTAGGTCGAATCCGAGTATCAAAGGAAGGGTTGAGCTCAGTGTGGTGTCATGGCTACTCAAGAAGGGTCCAGAACTCCTGCAGGGGATTGCCACAGCCCAGGAGTTTGAGACCTCCTAACCTGTCTGACTTTGAGGTTTAGAAAGGGGTCAGCAAGCTGTAGTTTGTCACCTGACTTTATACAGCTTTCGGGCAAAGGGGGACTTGCACATTTATATGATGTGTTAAAGAAAAATCAAAATGAAGCCGGGCACAGTGGCAGGTGCCTGAAATCCTAGCAGGGAGGCAGAGGCAGGCAGATATGTAAGTTCGAGGCCAGCCTGGTCTACAAAATGAATCCAGGACAGCCAAGGCTGTTACACAGAGAAGCCCTGCTCACAGCCTCCCCCCCCCCAAATTGATTGTATTCCATAATACAGAATTTACATAAAATTCAAATGTTAGTGTCCATAGATGGAGATTCAATTGGCAGAGCTCTACTCATTTGTGAACATGGCTACTTATGCCTTTGGCTATTTTCACTTTATAACTGGGTTTCAGCACAGTCCAATTTGTCTTTGAAAACCGAAATATGTGCTATCTGGCCTTTTTACAGAGAAAGTTTGTCACCCTCTATTCTAGAATCGCTATTGGGGTAAGGAGATAGTATTCTTTGATGAGAGTAGAATATGAAAATAGCTCAAACTGGGGAAATGCAGTACACATAATTCAGTCCTCTCAGAGACTTTGCGTAAGACCTGCTAATTCAGGTTCCCGGAAGAGAAGATCAGAGGAGGGACTCATATCCCTGCTGAGTACAGCAAAGCGGGTTCCGCCACCATTATTTATCACATGTCAGCAGGGACCGGTGGCACATAGATAGCCATACTGAGGCAGAAGGACGATGATAAGTTTGAGCTCAGCCTGGACTATAAAGGTTTGTCTCAAAAAAATTTTTTTTGTTTTCAAAAGAAGTGGTAAAGAAGAAAAAGTTAACAGATGTCTTTTGTGTTGGATGTTCAAGAAGTTGGGCACATTACTCTTCAGCCTGGTACAGACTCTGTGTGTGTGTGTGTGTGTACGTATACAAAAGGGAAAGGTGACTAAGACTGAGGAGAGTCCCACCCATACTTTGTGCTGTGGCTGACTTGTCAGTGAGTTGGACAATGAGTGTCCACTAAAGAGCTCAGGATGGGGGGAAAAAACCAGCCAGAATGGCTCCCAGGCCTGATGGAACAGCCAGGCTTGAGGTGATTATGAGAATCCTCGGAATGAAAGTGGCCTAGTCACAAAGTTGCTGTCAAGTGAGCTGAAAGGAGCCCAGCTGGGGCTAGGTTCCAAACCTCACTGGTGACTCACACTAGATTAGAAGGGTCTAAAAATGAGGTGATCTGAGAAATTCCATCTATTTAGTGCTTCTCCCAGGCCCAACCAGGACAGCTGTTCACAGAAATTGAACCTTTTTACACAGTGTTAGTCCTCCCCAAGATGACCTAGCCTTAGAAATTTGCAGTCAAGGGGAGGTCAGCCAGGACAACAATGTGCTAGACTGGAGGTATCTAGCCCAGGGTGGGGGGTAGGGGCGGGGGGAAATTCTTGTCTCCAGACCAGCTTCTCCTTAAGCACCTTCCTCTTCAGTCTGCCTTCTAGAAAAAGCCCCAGCCTCATGATTGGCATTGTACACATGGACCATGCCTGGACTGTCTTCCCAATAGTCTCTGTGGGCTGTTTGAAGCTACGTCTTCATGTCTTCCTCCCTAGTAGCTCTACCCCAGCCATTGTGGCGTTCCCTCAGGATTGCCTCAGATAAGACAGGCACTGCTGTGGGCGGCCAGTAACTCTTAGAAGAGTATGTGACAGAAAGTACCAGGAATTAAATGCCTTGAGCTCTTGAGACACAAATAGTTCCAAACACATCAACTCCTTCCTGAGGAGATGGAGAACCACTGAGCATACTCAGTTCATCAGAGGATGAAGTAGGTCTAACTGAGAAGTCTCTCCTGTCACTTAGGTATCCTTTACCCTTTACCTGTATCCACTCTTCTGATCCTTAGAGTTGCAGGCAAAAGGCTTTGGAATAACTACTCTTCCTCTTTGCACAATGGAGAAAGTGCAACATCCCGGTTCTGTAAACCTCTCCTTGTTCCCTTTAAATGAAGTTCAAGACTACATCCACTTGAGGATGTAAGCAATCGGATGCAGTTCTGTAAAGTAAGAATGACTTCCCAGCAGAATAGGTGGCATGTGTCCTGCACTCAGCAGCACTCCAAAACCTGAAGCAGGAAGAATGACTTGGAAGTCACCCTGGGCTACACAATAAAACCCTGTCTCAAAACTTTAAAGACCATTCTTGAAAAGCACAATTATTTCTAATGCTAAATTGCATTGCTTTTAGAAATCTGAATTAAAACATCAGCTTCACTGTCTGAAAAGCATGTGTGAACAAAAAAAAAAAAAAAAAAAAGAAAAAGAAAATCTAAAAAGTAGAATGAATAGCAGCCAAATGTATAAATCCATCCACAGAGTTGACCAGTGACCATTCCTGGTCCTGCCATCATGTCATCCCCCACTCATGCCATTTTTGTTCAGCCCAGACAAGAAACTGGGGAAAAGAAATCTGTGTACAAAAGAATCAAACTTTCTGAAGGAAAGCTATGGGGGGAAAATGCCTGTCCATGAACCTGTGCAGTGATAGGAGAAGCTCCCTGACAGTGGGCAGGGAATCCTAGACAGAAAGAAATGCCTGATCTCAGGAGCAGTTTCACTTTTTTGTTGTGTTTGTTTGTGCATGCCCCCCTGTGCCCATTGCATGTGTGTGCAGAGGCCAGTGGTCAGTCTAGTTAATCCTTGGGTTGCCCACCAACTTGGTTGGCCTGGAACTCACTGTGTAGACCAGGCTGAACTCATGAAGATCTGCCTGTCTCTACTTTCCAAGTATCGGGATTAGAAAAGGTATGTACTACTATACACAGGCCACTTTTTTAAAGAATTGTTTTATCTGGGGCTGTAGAGATGGCTCTGTAGTTAAGAGTACTTATTGCTCTTTTAGAAGACCCGAGTTCGGTCCCCAGTACCCACTTCGGGCAACTTGCAGCTTACCTATACTTCTATTTCCAGGAGATCTGATGTCTTCTGGCACTGCAGGCACCTGCCCACATGTGACAGATAGTTAGACTGACACATATACATTTAAAAAGGAGGGTTGTTTGTTTTTGTTCCTCAGAATAAGGTTTCTCTTTGTATCACTGGCTGTCCAAGAACTCACTCTGTAGACCAGGCTGGCCTTGAACTTACAGAGATCCATCTGCCTCTGCCTCATCTCCCAAGTGCTGAGATTAAAGGCATGTGCCACCAGCGCTCGCTCCTGTAAATAAAGGTTTTAAAAGAAGCTTCTGCTCTGCAGATAATTCTTGTGAGGCCCAGATCCTCTTTCCAAATTTAAATTAGAGGAAAGTGTCATCAAAGCAGGAAAGGTCAAACTTCTGGGTTATAGAAAAAGTACAATCATGGGTCAGCAAGATGCCCTTTTTCTCAGCTATAGTCCCGGGAACACACAATCTCATTAGGTGCAAACGGAGCCCACTGCATCTGACTTCTGATTATAACTCTTACAAGAGCAGCTAGCGTTGTCTAATCAAATCCATCTTCCCGAGGCTCAACTTTTCCATCCGAGGATTCACCGTATACATAGTCATTGTGTCACCTTCGCACTTCTGACTAATAAACACCATTTTCCTTTTGGGGTTGTTGTTTATTGGTTGCATGAAAATATGTTGATCTTCAGAAGAAAGTAGATATACTTTTTAAGAGAGGACCCTTGAGGGCTGGAGAGATAGCTCAGAAGTTAAGAGCACTGTTTGCTCTTCCAAAGGTCCTGAGTTCAATTCCTAACAACCACATAGTGGCTCACAACCATCTATAATGAGATCTGGTGTGCAGTTTTACACGAAGACATAACATTGTGTACAAAATAAACAAATAAAATCTAAACAAACAAAAAATCTTTAAAAAACTAGAGGAATCTTGTTTATAAAGAAGTTAATAAGACACCATCTTGAATTAATTCTGCTTAGATGTAGAATAGTTTTCTGTTTGATCTCATACTGACCCTCCAATGCAAGGCTGAAAATGAGTTAACAACTGCATCTAAAATCTTCAAATTCTCCATTGTCAGCCTGAGAAGCAGACATTATCCACAAACTTGAAGCCCTGTTACCAATGATTCCCTTGTGTTCTCAGATTCCTCAAGTCCCTGCTTGTTTTCAACATTTAACTAATTTAAAAAAAATTTTTTTTTCAGATAACTGATTCTAAAACGTTCAAGCATCTTCATTGATACTATTTCCAACCACAGTGGTGTACATTTGTACTTTTACCTTCTAGGTGGACACAGGAGGATTATTTGAACCTGGGTTTTTTGTTGTTGTTGTTGTTGTTTTGTTTTGTTTTGTTTTTTGGTCGTGGTGGTGTTTGGTTGGTTTGGTTTGGGATACGGTTTATTCATGTAACCCTGGCTGTCCTGAAACTAGCTCTGTAGAGGAGTTTGGTCTCAGACTCACAGAGATCTACCTATCTCCCAAGTGCTAAGGTTAAAGGTGTGGACCACCACCACCTGGCCACTGAGCCCAGGAGTCTGATGCTATTTTGGGCAATATAGCTTCATCCTATATTCTAAAAAACTTCTCTCTCTCTCTCTCTCTCTCTCTCTCTCTCTCGCTCTCTCTTTGTTGCTAAGTATCAAATCCAGAATACTGATATTCCATCACTATTACCAAAATAGCCCTGAAAGTCTACTCCCAGAGTGTGTAACTAGGACTTGTTTATAAGATAATGTGGAATTGCAGAGGCTGGAGAGACGGCCCGGCAGTTAAGAACACCTGCTATTCTTGCAAAAGAACCAAGTTCTATTACCAGCACCCACATCAAACAGCTCCCAACTATCAAACTGTCTGTCTCCTGAATGCTAGGATTAAATGGGTATGCCAACATACCTAACTATTTTGATTTATTTGAGACAAGGTTTGATGTAGCAGACTGGTCTCCAACTTGTTATATAGAGGAGGCTGACCTTGAATGTCTGATTCTCCTGCCTCCATTTCCCGAGCACTAGGGTTACAGGTGTGAACCATCGTGTCTGTCTCAATTCTCCCATTTTATAGTTGAAAAACAACCACAAAAAGGACTTTGAAAGAGAGAAGTTGTATGGGGAGGCAGTTCCATAAAATAGAACACAATTTACTGTTCTCTCACTGCAGAATGATCTATTTTTTACTATGATCAACTTAACATTCCTTACTGAGAGAAACTGATTCCACTTAACTTTTAAAAGGAGGTTAAATCAGGCAAGGTGGCACAAGCCTGTAATCCCAGCAAGTGGTAGGAAGAAGCAAATAGATCAGTATTCTAGGTCAGCCTGGGCTACATAAGGAAGATAGTCTCAAAATAAATAATAAGCTAAATAAGTTTTTAAAAGACAAACAGTGTTTTGTAGACAGCAATTCCTCATCTGTAACATGTGTCAATTCCCAAGTGGCCCAACCAGAGAATTTGAGACACGGGTAAGCCCCGGAACCTCTCTTTCTAACTCATGTTTCTACCCGAGCCCATAGAGGAGACCGGAAGTGTGCGGCCGAGGGGCGGAGCAAACCACTAGCTTGTTGTCCAACTGACCGGAAAGAAAAGGTGCATCCAGAATAAGGGCCCTTCCCCTTTACGGCTGCCGCACAGTTATATGTTCTCAGGAATGGGTGTCCGCGCGTTTACCGCGGTTCTTGACAACTGGTGAAATGCCGAACGGCAGCCGCTGCCCGGACTGCGGCTCCTCTGAGCTCGTGGAAGACTCACATTATACTCAGAGCCAGCTGGTGTGCTCCGAATGCGGTTGCGTGGTCACCGAAGGGGTCCTTACTACCACCTTCAGCGACGAAGGCAACCTCAGAGGTACTGGCATCTGTCCCCGGACCCTGGGGACAGCCTGGGGCTTTGGAGTGCTTAAACCCGGATTCCTCTCCCTAGCTCCTCCTTTTCTTGGTCATGCGCACAGTTAAATGTGGGAGAAGCTAGCTTAAGTAAACAAACTAGCTGGAGGAGGGTGCTCTCCTCTATTTTCCCAGTACTTACTACGGTGTCTGGCATTTAGTGGGTATACTGGATAGTGAATGAATGAAACGGAAAGGTTTCACTCATCATGTCAGACTTGTTCAGTGTTGAAGCATTGCCGGTAAATTATTTGGAAATACAACATGAACCATTATCCCATCGTAGTTTTTAGCACTAATAGGCAAAATGCTCCTTTCCTTTCACGCCATTGCTCTAGTATGGCGGCTCTCAACCTGTGGGTTGTGTGACCCCAGTGGGGTCGATCGACTTTTACCCAGGAGTCATCCTGCGTATTGGATATTTACATTACAATTCATAACAGTAGCAACATTACAGTTATGAAGTAACAATAAAAATAATTTTCTGGATGGGGGTCACCACAACATGAGGAACTGTATTAAAGGGTCGCCAAATTAGGAAGGTAAAGAACCATTGCCTTCGTCCTTGACTAGTGCAGCCCTCAAAAATTGAACACACCAGAGAAATTACTGGGAAATTGGAATCAGCGGTGCTGTGTTATATAGTTCTGTCCTGTCCGTCTCCGGATTTGGTGCTTCTTGAAGACATTTTAAAAAAACAGATAAGCTTTCATTTTTATGTGGATGGGTATCTTCTCTGAGATGGAAGTAGATACACAATAATTTGAAGTCTCCTTATGTGGCCTTATGTGGTCAGGTGATGAACAGAAGCCAGTTATTTATTGTTTGCTATTTTTCAGAAGTGGCATATTCTCGAAGCACAGGGGAAAACGAACAAGTCAGTCGCAGCCAGCAACGAGGTGAGAATGGAGCCTTTCCCCCTTCCCCCACTTTAAGTTTCAGCTTTGTTTTATTTGTACTCTTTCACTGTTTTATCGTGGTGTTTTGTATATGTGCATGTGTGGTGCCCACGGAGTCAGAAGAGGGTGTTGGATCACCTGGAACTGGAGTTAAGGATAGTTATGAGCTGCCATGTGGATGCTGGGAACCAAACCCCACATCTTCTGCAAGAGCAACAAGTGCTTTTTAACTGCTGAGCCATCTCTCCAGCCCGAGAATCAACCTTTTATGACACAGTGGCTTTAAAGACAGTTGTCTTGATGACCTCATCTGTCTGTGTATGTTCTTATTCTCAATAAGGTACCTTATACCTTGTTGGTATAAGGTAGGCTACAAGAAAACAGTTATTGATGTGGTGTATGCCTGCAATCCCAGCACTCAGGAGGTGAGGCAGGAGAAGTGAGGGACCTCTGTTTGAGAGACCTCAAACAGAGACTTTGAGGTCAGCCCAGCCTACATACTGAGTGTGTCTTAAAAACCAAAAGGAATAGAGGTAAATGAAGGTTTGGGTCTACACAGGGCTTAAAGTAGCCTCAAGGAACCTGAGTAAAAGCTTGGCTTCAAGCTATGGGGTAGGTTGGTGATAGAGTATGCACCTATCATGTGTAAGGAAGGCTTGGGGTTCAATCCCCAGTACAAAAAAAAAAGAGTCGAAGTAGCTCATATAAAGGTGGTGGATTGAATGTGACCTTTTCATCAATGTTCTGAACCATTAAAAGGACCACAGGTCTAAAGGGCTAGCAGTATGGCTTAGCAATAAGGAGCTTGCCTAGCATGCTTGAGGATCTAGGGTCTGGCTCCAAAACACATGGTCACACCAAGTTCCCTGTTAGCACAAAAAGGCATATTAGGGGTACATCTGGTGTGTATGGCAAGTTTAAAAGAAGTAAGTTAAGCCCCAGCAGAACTTGCTAGTAGGTACACACTACTTCCTTTGACCACTCTGCTTGTTATATGTCTTCTCAGATCTCCGTCGGGTAAGAGACCTGTGTCGAATTCTCAAGTTGCCACAAACATTTGAGGATACAGCAGTCTCCTACTACCGAAAGGCCTATCAGCTGTCGGGCATTCGTGCTGCCAGGCTCCAGAAGAAGGAAGTGCTAGTTGGATGCTGTGTCTTAATAACCTGCCGGCAACATAACTGGCCCCTGACCATGGGAACCATCTGTGCCTTGTTGTATGCGGATCTGGATGTGTTTTCCGGCACCTACATGCAGATAGTGAAGCTCCTGGAGCTGGATGTGCCCTCTCTGTGCCTGGAAGACTTGGTGAAGTCTTACTGCGGCAGGTTCGTGTCCAGGAGGGAACAGTGGGCTGGGATATATCCTGTGCATTCTTTCAGCGGTGTCTGGCTCTTACCAGAGCCTGTCTCACAGGATGTGAGAGCCACTCCTATTTTGTGCTTACTACTAATGAGGTTAATACAGTTTGTACAATTCCCAGGTGCTGTCATTTTCAAATTCCTTTTTCATCACAGAACTGTGATAATTAAAAAAAAAGAAAATCCCTTCCAATAACTGCCATTCATAAAGCAGGGGTGGGGCCACTCAGGAGCAGTTATTGGAATTAGATGGCAGGGGCCACGTGTCACATGTGCAGTAGCCCTACTCCAGCAGGGTCACCTCCATATGGTGTCCAGAGATACTAGGTAGTGGTAGAACAAGGTCGGAAGCTAAGGTGTTAGTGGGATCTTTTTTTTTTTTATTAACTCTGTATCCCAGCTGTATCCCACTTCCTCATTCCCTCCCAAACCCTCCCTCCCTCCCTCATCTCCTCCCTGCCCCTTTCCAAGTCCACTGATAGGGGAGGACCTCCTCCCCTTTCATCTGACCCTGTTTTATCAGGTATCTTCAGGACTGGCTGCAAAGTTCTCCTCTGTGGCCTAGCAGGGCTACTCTTCCCTTGGGGTGTGGGGAGGTCAAAGAGCCTGCCCTTGAGTTCCTGTCAGAAATAGTCCCTGTTCCCCTCACTATGGGAAACCAATTGGGTACTGAGCTACCACAGGCTACATCCGAGCAGAGTGTTCTAGGTTATATCCATTCATGGTCCTTGGTGGAGTGTCAGTCTCAGAAAAGACCCCTGTGCCCAGATATATTTGGTCCTTGTGGAGCTCTTATCCTTTCCATGTCATACTAACTCCCCCTTCTTTCATATTCCCTGCACTCTGCCAAAGGTTTGGTTATGAGTCTTCATACCTGCTTTGATACACTGCTAGGTAGAGTCTTTCAGAGGCCCTCTGTGGTAGGCTCCTGTCCTGTTACCTGTTTTCCCCTACATCCAATGCACCTCCCATTTGTCTTTCTAAGTGAGGATTGATCATCTTACCCTGGGTCCTCTTTCTTGTCTACCTTCTTTAGGTGTATAGATTTCATTATGTTTATCATATCTTATAGGACTATATGAGTGAGTATATACCATGTGTGTCTTTCTCCTTCTGGGATACCTCACTCAGAATGATCTTTTCTAGATGCTACCATTTGCCTGTAAATTTCATGATTTCCTTATTTTTGATTGCTGAGTAGTGGCATCTTTTGTTGTTTTGTTTTAGACAGCCTCATACAGCCCAGGCTGACTTTGCACTTCTGATCATCTTGTCTCCATCTTCTCAGTGCTGGGATTACAGCTGTGCACTCCTATCCTTAGTTTGCCTTTTTTTGTTGTTTTTTTTTTATTTTTTATTTATTTATTTATTTTGACTAGTATACTTTAAAACAAAATAACACCACAAAATGACTGACCAAGTATGGTAGCACAGACTCTTAATCCTAGCATTTGGAGGCTGCAGCAAGAGGATCAGGAGTTCTAGGCCAGCTTAAACAGCATGATGAGACCCTATGTTTTGTTTTGTTTTGTTTTGGCGGGGGGTGTTTACTTGTTTGTTTTTTTAAAACAATAATGCTTAGCCATATCCTAAGTGAATGAGGACATTGGAATTGTGCGGACAGCAAGGTGCTCAACTGTTTGTGTCCTTCATCTGCCAAGTGTCTGCCCCCTTTTCTTAGTATCTCTCTCCCCAGTGAGCTTGGGTATCTCTAGGATGAAACAGCTTTGCCATCCTTTTGGGGAGAACTCCCCTTCTCACCCTGGAAGGGCACCCATATCATTCATTCACTTGGCTCTCACTTTGGTGGTTTTAGCTTCAAACTGTTCCAAGCTTCCCCATCCATGCCACCCAAATACGTGGAAGACAAAGACAAGATGCTGTCTCGAACCTTGCTGTTGGTGGAGCTGGCAAATGAGACATGGCTAGTGACTGGGCGGCATCCCTTGCCTATCATCACTGCAGCCACCTTCCTGGCATGGCAGTCTCTGCGGCCTTCAGATCGACTGACGTGTTCTCTTGCCCGGTTTTGTAAATTGGCAAATGTGGACCTGCCCTACCCGGCTGCCTCTCGTCTGCAGGAGCTCCAGGCTGTGCTGCTTCAGATGGCCAGCCAGCTTGCCTGGTTACAAGTTCTTAAACTTGATAAGCGGTCAGTAGTGAAACACATTGGAGACCTTCTCCAGCACCGCCACATACTGCTCCGAATGGCTTTTCGAGATGGAACAGAGGTGGTGGAGACCGAGGAATTACAGCAGCAGGGGCAAGGACAGCAAGAAGAGGTAGAGGATGGTGCCTTGGATTTGCCCAAGAAGAAGCGTCCTGCCAGTCCTGCCCTTCTCCTTCCACCCTGCATGTTGAAGCCCCCCAAACGGACCCATCCCACACCCCCTGTTTCTGTAGTGACTGGAGACGAGAACATTTCTGATAGTGAGATAGAGCAATATTTGCGAACCCCTCAGGAAGTTAGAGACTTTCAGAGAGCCCAAGCTGCTAGCCAGGCAGCCATGAGTGTCCCTAACCCTCCCTGATGCACATTCTGTGAGGTGTATTCAATTCTGCCTACAGCTTATTGAAAGGCCTGTTGTATTGCAAGAAGTATGACCCTTGGATATGCCTTTCTCGTTTAAAGGGACCAAGAGTAGCAAGATGGGAGGTGTATAGGATGTCAGCAGGGGCAAAAGTCCTGTCCCTTGGTGCAGTTGAGCGAGTTGGTCATCTACAGCTGGGATGGATTATTCCTAAGGTTCTTCCTGTTGAAGAATCTGCCCAGTTCTGTTCTGCCCTAGTATGAAGTAAATGTGTCGCTGTTGTGAAAGAGCTGGCATTCCTGGTGATATCAAGCATTCCATGAGCAGGCACCCCAATTCCTAGCCCCTGTCTAGTGTAGGCTCTAGTTTTGAATATTCCTAAGATCGTCTACATTAACAAAAGGACCATGGCTGGACTACGGCTGTCGCTCAAAGGGCTTTGCAAGATTTTAATATATTAAAACAAAGAGGCATCTGCTGGAAAACATTCTATTGTATAAAACCAGAACTTTAAAACATGTTTTCTTTGGCACTTCATTCCCTCCCTCCCTCCCTCCCCTTTCCCTGGCATATTGCAAAAAGCTCTCCAGTGCTAAGGCATTGGCAGGGTATGTAAACAGCAGCCAGCATATGTGGAAGAGTAATACAAAGCTTTTCCCTCTAATATCGTCTGTGCAGCAAGCATAAATAAAGGGACCCATCTCAAGGAGGCTGGATCCTCCCTTCCCCATTCTGGTTAGGTTCTCTCACCTAACCAGACCTGGGTTCCCTCCTGCTTCACAGGGCCCAAGAACTCTACTTCCATGTGGATCTGTGGTAAAAGGCAATTTAAGTTGGGAAAAGTGGAGTTTTTAGCAAGTAGTGAAAGCAGAGACTCTTGAGCAACCTGGACCCAGATGCTGCCCCAGAGTGTGGTTGGGTTTCAGCGAGTTGGGAGATGGTTTGGCACTTTAGTTTTCTAACTGGAGTTAGAAATTGGATTATTAGCATGGCTTTGCCATAGAAGCCTCATGGAGGCACTTTCCCTCAGTCCCTCAGAATTGGGCGGCTGAGAGCAGGCGGTGGGTACTTTAATTGAGCAGCTAAGTGGAGTCTCATTCAGACCATTATATAGGTTGTGCCCAGATCCAATATCAGCGCCCTCCCCCAGAGTCTTCAGGTACCAGGGGCATCACTGTCTCGGGTGTGTAGAGTTCAGGTTTTGTTCTGAACTCTGCTGGAAGAACTGTGTACCACTCCCTGGGGATTACATCTCTCTGAGCACCTTTCCCACCTGCCCCCTCCGTGTTACCGATCTCTAGAGCTGCCTACCACAGGGCCCCACTCCTCCCACCCCTTGCATAGTTGATCTGAAAAGGCAGCACCTGTCACACCCCTGGCAGGGCACCTGGCTCATCTGCTAAGATGGTTTCCCAAGCCAAAACCTGGGAAGAGGCCTGGGACCTTGACAGTCATATGGTCCCCTGTGAGGCCGGAAGAGGCCAATGCAGTTCCCAGGTTTCCCTCTCCTTTCCTGAGCCTACCTGGGCTGGGCTCTTCCACTAGACTGACGGAACTTTTATCCCTACCTGGGAGGGCACCAACATCTTGGCCATCACAACCGGTCTAGGATTGTCTGTCGCTCCTACTGAGGGGTAGTCCACCAGACGAGTGGCAAGCATCTGCCTCTCCGTCCCCAGCCTGGGTAACTAAAGACGGTGAGCCCAAGGGCAGCCATCAGCATGGCCACTTCAAGCCTACACATCCCTAGAGGGCTTGAACCACCGAGGATCTGGGAGTAACAAGCCGGTGTGACCGGCCCATGCTAAACCTGGCCCTAGACGGTGGTCTCGCTTTTCCAGAGGCCCGTCTTCATGCATCCTCCCGCTATGGGCTCTGCACCGGTCACACTGGCATCCTCATATTTGCCCCCCTTGGGGGCGCCGTTAAGACTGGTGGTGTTGAGCGGGTAGGAGCGGCGCTTGCTCTCCCGCTCCAGTGCGCTGCCACCGCCCTTGAGGTTGTCACGGCTGGCGCTGCGGCGCTGCCCGGCGCGCCCGGCCTCAGGGATCGGCGCAACGCTGGTGTCGCTGCCCTCCGACGGCGTGAGCATGGGCTCACCCTCGAGCGGAAGGCCCTCGCCGGGACTGTTGCGGCTGCTGCCCGGGTAGCTGTCGGACGGGCTGTTGTGCAAGCTGCCGCTCTCACTAGACAGCAGCTCGGGAGCTCCTGGGGACGTGCCTGCGCGCAGCGCCTTGAGCCGGCTCTTGCCACTAGTCTCTCCGGCTCGGTGCCCCTTGGCCCGACTCTTGTGTAGTCGGCGCCCGTGATGAAGGTTGTTATGGTGCCGGGGAGCTAGGCTGCGGGAGCCGACGGTCTCTGGCTCTCCATCCCCGTGGGCGGCCACGCCTGCCTCGCACACCTGACTCTGGGCTACCTGCAGGTTGGTGAGTTTGCAGGGGGGAGGCGGTACACGGCCACTGCTGCCACTTGGGGAGGACTTGAGGGAGGCTGGTCCCTCCCCCAACACCGGGGATCCATCCTCCGCAGCAGTCGGCAGGGCCCGGGGCGGGGCGTGGGAGGCCGAGGGCGAAGCAGGAGGACAGCAGGCGCGCCAGGAAGCCCGAACATCCCTACGCCTGGCACAGTGGTGGGTGAAGACAAAGAGGCCCAGAGCTGAGGCTGCCACACCGTACAGACAGCTGCACACCACTCGCGGCAGCCAGCGCTGAGATACCGCCAAGGCTCCACAAGCCCACATAGCCAGGTACAGGAAATGCGTGGTCATCAGCGCCCCCAGCTGGACTCCCGGAGAATATACGCCATCACCATCCTCTGGGGGCGCAGGTGTCCCTACTCCTGCGCTAACTGTAGCCAAAAGGGAACCAGAGTCACTCAGGAGGACGCCACTGCTCCTGAGCCTGGTGGAACCCCTCAGGTCTTCCCCTGGCTCCAGAGCGAGCCTACTGTTACCCTGCTTTGGATTCTGGGCCACATGACCCCGTAAATGCAGGCCCGCACACAAGAAGTAGATCCAGGTGATGGGCAGAATCAACGCCACCGGTATGTAGAAGGCGCCAAGGCTTGGACGCCATACCAGCCAGCAACTAGGGGGGAAGACAGAGATAGTGGGTGAAGACTTGGGAGAGCCCTGGAGGCGGGGCACAGGCTGGGCGGTTGATGAGGTAGGATGTGGGAAGCAGAGCGGTGAGGCAGGACCTGGCTTAGTCAACATGCAGGGGCTCTCTAGCTGGGTGGATCAGCAGGCATGGGGCTGGTGTGAAGGTTGGGACAGGTAGATGGTGATGTTGAGGCAGGAGGGGGGAGTGGTGCTCACTAGGGACTGTGGTCCCGGTAGTTGTGGATGTTGACCGCAGCGGTGATGCCGCAGATTATGAGGGGGATCCCTCCAGCAATCAAATAGAACCTGGGGGTGGGAGGGAGGAGGGCAGTTTGAAGGTCAGAGAGATGGAGCCCCGGAGGTAAGGGAACCGGGTGCTCAGAACCCTCAATTGACGTGTCTGTCTTTTCCCCTGTCCCGTTTGGGGCTGAGTGATCTGGAAAGGTGGGATGGGGCAGGGATGTAAGGCCCCTAAGGGTAGGGCAGCTTCTTTAGAATTTGGCCAAGAACTGTTCTATGGGACAAGAACCAAAATTGTTCTCTCCGACCGTAAGCAGTCAGGGTGAGGGTTGTCATGGAAGTTTTGGGGGTCCCTGCTCAATGCCCTTTACTGTCACCTCCTTCCCTTGTCAGGCCTGAGATACTTGCCTCTTGCCTCTGGAGAGCAATCCCCGGGATCTTGTATTCACCCCCAACCACCCCAGCTTTGCTACACCTGTCCTGGGTCCTGTGGGCCCTCCCATAGCTGATAATTGAAAGCACTTACCGGAGCATAGGTCGAGGACCTGATGGTGCTGCATCCCCTTCTTCTGGAGGGGGCGCCCTCCAAGTGAGCTCCTTGTGGAGGACCCGAGCCTTTACCCCCATCCAGAGCAGTGTGGACAAGGAAGAGTAGTGCAGAGTGATGCCCACCTACAAGGTCAAGGCACTGAGGCTTGGGACCTGAGCTGCTGACTGGGCTACACCCTGGAATGTCAATGGCCAAGTATGTTCTCACTGTCCCCGTGTCTCCAGCATCCCACCCAGTTACTCATCGTACTGGTCCTTGCTGGTGTCCTCTCTGCTTCCATCCAGGGCTTCCTCTCACCCCAGGGACCCTCCAGGACCCAGGCATAACTGGCTGTCTGGCACAAGACCTCTCCTCCACTGGGACCCCCCACACTCCACTTTGAAGCCCCACCTTCAGTGATTTCTGTGCTACTCTGACCATTACTGATCCTCTCCACATCACCCCTTCCAACCCTACAAGGCTAGCACAGAAAACAGGGAACTGGGCAGGGAGGGCGAGTTCCATGAACCTTATTTTTCTTGCTACGCTCCCCTCCTCCTCTGAAGTCACTCATTTTAGAGTCCCGCTCCCTTCTTACCGCTTGGCAAACCATTTGGTAGTTGGTGAGAGTGATGCCCCCAACAAAGACAGCAGAGGTCATGGCCATGTGGAAACACAGGTTCAGCAGCATATGCCAACCCTTCCGGGACACATGGATGGAGCTGCCCCAGAAAGAGTCTTTTATTAATGAGCTATCCAACCCCATTGCGGCTGGTGTGAGGGCTGGGGCAGGCAGATGGTGATGATAATGAAAATAAATTACCAATGAGCATGTATGTAAATGTACTGTGTGTAATGGGGAGAAAACCCTTCATCTCCTCACCCCCAGCTCCAAAATGTGTGCCCCAACCCCAGAGCCTGGCCAAGTCACGTGGGCCTGCCTGAAGAAGAAACATCTGCCAGTCTGCAGTGAGACATTCCCCCCCTCCCCCTCCCCCACCTCTCCTTCTCTCCCTGGACCAGCTCTCACCTGTGGTTGAGGATGTAGGTGATGATGGTGGAGAAAAGACAGAGTAGCAGCAAAGCTGTGCAGGGGTACACAACAGGATGCAGTCCAGCCCCAGAGCCTCCCGCCTCCCGTGGGAACGCACTCAGCTCCTGGGAGAGAGGGGGTACAAGGATTGAGTTGTCCCTGTCTGTACTAAGCCATTTCCCTCATCCTGACTCCCAGCCAGCCTTGGACCTGCACCTAGATGCTTTAGTCCATTGGGCGGGTAGAATGCAACTTTGAAGACAGCTGCTCAAGAACACAGGCAGCCTCCTGCCTACCTTGCCTCTTCTACAGTTCTGCTTTTCTGGGGGCTTCTTTTCAGAGGCCCAGTTGAAAACTCAGAGATAGGGTGCTGGAGAGATGACTCAGTGAATAAGAGCACTGGCTGCTCTTGCAGAGGACTCAGGTTCAATTCCCAGCACCCACATGGCAGCTCAAAGCTGTCTGCAACTCCAGTTCCAGAGGATCCGACACCCTCATATGGACATGCTTGTAGGCAAAACACCAATGCACATAAAATAAAAATAAATTCAAGAAAACCCAGATGAGCTGTCTGTGACATGGCTGTGTGTCAGTAGCAGCAAAAGTTGGAGGAAGGGATGAAAAGTTGCTTTTCAACTAGAATAATTCAGGTCAAAATAGGCATGGTGATACAAGCCTATTATCCCCGAGCTTGGGGGTAGGATCAGCAATTCAAGGTTATCCATAGCTAGATAGTGGGCTGAGCTACAAGAAATCCTATCTCAAAAACCAAACCAAACCAAACAAACAAACAAAACATACCAAAAATATGTGAGACCTGAAGGCCAAGCTAGATGGTTCCAGATCCCTCTTGAAAGATAGAGAGGCGTGGAAGAGGCTAGAGGGTCATTTCCCATAAACTCTGACATCAACGGAGCACAAGGCTGCTGTCCTTTCTGCATTTTCTTGTGGTTCCAAGTGATCAAAGTACCACAGTCCCTGCCTCCCACACAAGTTCCCTCGCCTCCCTTCATCTCCACACCCCTCCCTCTACACACACATTACACATACCATGAGCACAGCCACATTGCCCAAGTGCTGGCAGTACAGGGAACTGACGTTGGGCTTGCTGACGCGGAGCTTACAGCCCTCGGAACTCCAGCCTCCAGGCCCCTCTTGGTTCCACCAAGCTGCCATGGGATCAGCTCCTTCAGCCCAGTGCCTCAGTGAGACAGCCACCGGCTCAGTCAAGTTCCCTACGCCACAGCCACCTGCAAGGACAGTGAAGTCCACATGGGCACACGAGGTTGTTAGGAAGGCTGCTGGGAGTGATGAAGCAGAGCATGCTGGGATACTGCTGTCCTAGGGAAAGAGCTAGCTACGGTCGTCCTGGGTCAGTCTACCCAGGGCGACTCAGTGGAGACTCCTCTGTCTCAGAGGAAGAGGCAGGTGGAACGGGGGGGGGGGGGGGGAGGAGGCGGGGTACAACACCACCCTAGGAGCCCAGCGCTAACATGGAAGGAGGGAAAGGCCAAGTCAGGAGGAATCCCTAAAAAGAACTGTTGGCCTCAGGAAGGAGGGATACATAGGGACAGGAGAAAAACCTGAGAAAGGCACTAAGCAGGCCTATGTGGGAGAGTGTGTCTGTGACATGCATCATACGCTCCCCACCCCCACCTCCCTATCTCTCCATTAATACACCTGTTCACCCATGACAACATCGAGTGATCCTTCCTCTGATGAATTATCATTCGGGTCTCAGAAAAACTTGAGTTTTCAAGGAAGGCCTCCCGGGCCCCTCACTAGGTTCAGATGAATGTCGGAACTACGTGGTCCAGGCACCTTCCACAGTTGCTCACTTCTAACTACTTGTGCAGTGCCTCTCTGCTGAATGGTGCCCCCCCCTTTTTTATGTGCATTGGTGTGAGGGTGTCAGATTCCTTGGAACTGGAATTACAGACAGTTGTGAGCTCCCGTGTGGGCACTGGGAATTGAACCTGGCTCCTCTGGAAGAACAGCCAGTGCTCTTAACCTCTGAGCCATCTCTCCAGCCCCAACGTGTGCACTCTTAAGGGCAAAGAATACAACTGTCTGAGCTCGAGCATACCTGAGCCCAGCAGAAGCTGGCACATGCTGGATACTTAACAAGTGTTCCCACCCGGACTGGAAAGATCCCATTTTAGGAACAGAAACGGGTGCTAGGGTAATGATGGCAGCATGTTCATGGCACACAGGAGACCCTGCATGGCACGTACAAGAAGGTAGACATTATAATAAACCAATCATGAAGGAGCTCTGACATGTACAGCGGTGTTTTCAGATGGCATTGTAGATGGAGGTTGCCCGGTGAGCAAGCCCAGAGTTTGGAAGATGGAAGGGAAGCGGGACTCAGAAAGACACATGTGTGTAGCTTGTGTGTGTGTGTGGGGGGGGGGGGGGGTGGTGCTGGTCCTGATGGAACAGACTAGTTAAGGACAGGGCTACAGTGATCCACTCAGTTCTTGGGGACCACACCACAAACAAGGCAGTTGGTCCTTCCCCACCACAATTCTCCCTCCTGCTCTAGTCTCTAGCCTATGTGCTGTGTCTGGAAGTTCTGAGTTCCCCTCGGGGTTTACTGTGTCAGTCCTACCTCTAACCTCAATGCCACAGCTGTCTTGCCTTTGGGACACTTCTCACCAGGACTACTGATGTAGCAGTCCAAGGAGCCTCTGGCTGGAGTAGCTCAGGGGCATTATTCAAGTATTCTGCTATTCAGGGAGGCAGCGGCCTCTGCAGGGAAGGCCATGGCCCTCAGGTTATAACACCAAAGGTGGTACATGCTTCCAGGATGCGCTCATGCCATATTGCCTGTCTACCCGGAGCCCATGTGTGGCAGTGTAAGAAGCCTGGGGTTTGGTGTGGAGGGAAAGAAATGAGGCTTTGTGCCTACAGGCTTTCTGATAAGTCATATGCTTAGGATATAAAACTGTCTTTTGTCTGGGATATAAAATCATGTCCCTCCAAGCCTATTCTCACCATCAATCTCTTCCTTGACAGGCCATCTCCGCTCCCACCCCCCTTGAGATATGGTAAGGTTTCTGCTATCCTCTGCCAACTGCACCAGGGCAGTGGGGAGCCACAGACATGAAAGGGGCAAGACAGACAGACGACGTGCAGGAAGTTGGTCCCTTACTGGTTCCTGCAAATATGACAGGGGTGGCCACACCACGCCTCTTGCCAGGCCCAGCTGCTCCAGTACGGGAAGTGTTGCCATGGCTGCGGAAAAGACGGCCATTTCTGAAGACCAGCAGTTGCAGGGTGCAATCTGGAGGGACTGGGGGAGCCAGGGCAGCCGGAAGGGTTGAGAACAGGCTGGGGGGGCAGCTGGATGGAGGCCAGGGCCACGCTATTCTGAGGGGACA